TCGACAAGTTGTTGCCCCCGTCGAGATGCGAAGCCGCACAAGGAGAAACAGACGTCGAAGAAGACGTCGTCAACAAAGGATGTCGACAGCTCCAGCAGCAATGGCCGAGGCAACGGGGAGGCGTCGTGCTCAATGGTCGGCGTGGTTGAGCCGATAGTCTCGCTGGCGTTGAAGGCTGGCGACGACTTCCAGGTGGTGGTGGCAGCTGTGCAGGCCAACCCGATGGCGGTGCTTCTTGACAGCGGGTGCTCCCGCCACTTGATGGGGACGAAGGCGGTCTTTGTCGACATGGCGCCGAACGACGGAGTGAAGCACGTGTGTGGATTCAACGGGGCACTGCAGCCTGTCAAGGGTCGGGGAACCGTTGCTCTACAAGGGGATGCCGGGAAGCGGGTCCTCATCCCCGACGTGCTCTATGTTCCGGGCGTACTGGCGAACCTGCTATCAGCTGGCCAACTAAAGGAGAGCGAAGTGCAGCTACGGGGCGATGGTAATGAGATGGTGCTCGTCGCCACGACCGGGGAGGTGCTCGGTCGAGCACGCTACACCGGACGATTCCTCTACACCAACCCTCGCCCCTGCTCGATGCGGTCCCCGACGACCGAGGTGGTAGCTCCGCGGATGATCGTCTCAGCGACGAAGTCGAACCCTGATCAGTTGCATGCGAGGCTCGCGTCGACACAATCAAGAGCTCGGCAAAGCATGAAGTTTCTGTTGGGCTTGACATCATGCCGTTGACCGTAGCAGACCCGCCGTGTGTCTCGTGCGTCGGAGGAAAGCTGGCGCGGCACACTTACCTCGACAAGGGCTCGGATGCCGAGGAGGCCCTGGGTGTCGTGCAGATTGACTTGTGCGGGCCATTTCGGGTGGCTGCCAAGGATGGCAGTTTGTACTTCCTGTTGCTGAAGGATCGCCACACTCGATTCGTGTGGGCAATGCCAGTCGCTAAAAAAAGTGATGCGCTGCGGGAGTTCCAACAGTGGCTGGTGCTGGTAGAGCCGCAGACAAAGAAGACGGCGCTGATGCTCCGTTCCGACCAAGGAGGGGAGTTCCTTGGGAAGGCGTTCACCGACTTCGTCAATGGCAAGGGCATCGTCCATGGCTTGACGTGCCCCTACACTCTGAAGCAGAACGGCATGGCTGAGCGGGAGATGCGCACGGTCGTCGAGTCTGTACGGACGGCATGCAGCATCACTGGTGGCACCTTGCTCTTTGACAGGCTGTCTGGGTGCGCAATTGCTTGGAGCGGTCAACGACGCCGCCGGGGACGACTCCGTCTCAGCTGCTGACCAGGAAGAAGTCTGACCTCACACTAGTGCGCGTGTGGGGCTACATGGTGCAATTCATGCTTCCCGGGCAGCAGCGCGGTGGGAAGCTGGCGCCGAAGGTTTGCTAAGGGCTTCACCTTGGCGTGTCACCAGAGAGTAAGGGCTGGGAGGTGCTCGACCTTGTCGACAACAAGGTGGTTACGCGGTCGAGGTGATCTTCTACAAGACGCTGTCGCTGGAGGTATGGAAGGCGAAGTATGGACCGGAGTCGGGGATGACACAGGCACACCCATCGACGGACACCTCGATGGCGATGGTTCCATTGCTCGCCGAAGTTGATGAGCCTGCTGATGAGGATGTCGTGGAGGTTCTTCCTCCTCCGCCTGTTCTCGCCCCTCCCTCTCCCGTCGCAGGTTGGCCTGCGTCGACACGTGTGTCGGCAACCAGCTACGAGGGGAGCCTTGAGGCGTCGCCTGCGGCGCCGGCTAGTGGCATCACCAGCGATCGAGAAGGCGCCAAGCACGTCGACCAGGATGGGAAGCCGGGGCGGTCGACAGGGGAGCCGGTCGAATAGGAGGCAGCAGCAGGGGTGCAGTCGACAGGGGAGCAGCAGCCAGGGCGGTCGACAGGGGAGCTATCAAAGTCAGCAGTTGGTGAGCAGCCGGTCGAAGGATCGAAGCAGCTGGTCGACGACGAGGACATCGACGAGGAAGGGGAGCAGTCGGCGGGTGAGGAGTCCACCGACAGCGTCGTGGTGGAGGTGTTGATCACGAAGCCTAAGCTAGGACGCACAGGTCGAGCTCGACGACCACCGGAGCGGCTGAGCTTCCATGCCTGCCTACCGCCAGCTACCTTCACCACAGTGTTTGACGAGGTCGACGACGACCTGTTGTACGATGACACCAAGGAGGATGAAGAACTGCCAGAGCTCGACCCCGACGTGCATGCCGACCCCGAACATTGCTAGGACATTGCCACGATGATGGTGAAGGAGGCGCTGGCAAGCTGGAAGGGCGAGGCGGTGAAGGCCGCCATGGAAGAAGAGATTCGGAGCCTCATCGGCATGGGCACTTGGGAGCTGGTCGAACGCCCACGCAGGGTGAACATCATGAAGAACCGGTGGGTGTTGATGACCAAGTACCGCATCGACGACACCGTCGAGCACGAGAAGGCGAGGCTGGTCGTGAAGGGCTTCATGCAGGTGTACGGCGCCGACTACGACGAGACGTACTCGCCGGTGAGCAGCTACGTCATGCTAAGGCTCTTTCTCAGCATCATTCCGGTCCTCGACCTCAACCTAATGCAGCTCGACATGAAGAACGCTTCCGTGCAGAGCAAGCTCGACAGGGTGCTGTACATGTACCAGCCGGACTACTTCGACGACAAACAGGTCGGGTGTGCAAGTTGCTGAAGAGGCTCTACGAGCTGAAGCAGTCGCCGCTGTTGTGGTACAGGGCTCTTGACGCTGTGCTGCTGGGGGCTGGCTGGAAGAAGAGCCAGGTCGACAAGGTGCTCTGCTTCAAAGCTGGCGACGACGGAGTAACCTGCTGGGTGCTGGTCTACGTCGACGACCTGCTCACCACCAGCAGCACCACCGCGATGCTGAAGGAGCTAAAGGAGCTGGAGGCCACCTTTGAGCTGCGTGAGATCTTGCCGGTGGTGAAGTACCTTGGGATGGAGATCATGCGCGACAGGTCGGCGAGGAAGATATGGATGCACCATCAGGGCTACGTCGACAAGCTGCACAGGCGCTTCATCGACAAGGAGCAGGGCGGTCGACTCCCAAAGACGCCGATCTCGGTTGACGCCTACGCTGAGCTGACGTTCGACGACGAAGAGGCCTAGAAGCGCAAGGAGGAGGAGTACCGGCAGAAGGTTGGCTCACTGTGGTTTGCAGCAACGGCAACAAGGCCGGACATCGCGTTCGCCTGCAGCAAGCTGGGGAGCGGCCTTACAGTGAAGAGCGACCAGCATTGGCGCGAGGTCGACCGCTCCCTCGCCTATCTCGCCGACACCCGCGACACCGCTCTGGAGTTCGGCGGTGGACCAGAGTCGCTGGAGCTGATCGGCTACGTGGACGCCGACGACGCGGGCGACAAACCAAAGCGGACGAGCACGGGCGGCTACGTGTTCGTCTTCGGAGGGGCCGCGGTCTCCTGGTCGAGCCAGCGCATCAAGTGTGCGACGCTCTCCTCGACCGAGTCAGAGTACATCGCGGCCACGGACGCCGGCAAAGAGGGGCGTTGATTTTGCTTCCTCCTTGCAGAATTCAAGATGCTCGACACTGGGAAGTCGACCATCCTCCGTGTGGACAAGTCGGCAATCACGGTCGCTGAGGGCTTGGGGCTAACGGGCAACCTCAAGAACATGGGGCGACGCTATGCCTGGCTGCAGCACATGGTGAGGCGCGGGAAGTTCGTGCTGAAGTACATCCTGACCATCGAGCAGCCGGCTGACTTCCTGACAAAGGCGCTGCATTTTCCGTCTTTCAACCAGTGCTTGGTCGCCATCGGCCAAGTTCGCCTTGCTGACGTCGACGACGGCGACGATGAGGTGCAGCAGTAGGTGTCGTGCCCTTCTGCACGGCTGGTGAGGTGATGGCGTGCTGTGTGTGGGGTGTACGCCGAGGACGAGTTTTCTCCGTGGAGTACTGCCGTGTGGGCTGGAGGCCCAAGCGTGAGTGCGGCAGGGGAGTGTTAACGGAAGTGGAGTGTTGGCCCCGCCCTCGCTTGGGCAATGCCGACGACTTGGTCAGATGTACGAGAGTAGCAGCCGACCGTTCACAGTGGGAGAGCTGCTCAACAGGCTTCGTTGAGCTGCGAGGGACCGCTGTGGTGTTACTACCGACCAGGGAGCTCGACAGCTGCAACTTGTTATAGTCACAATAGGCTCCAATGTTCCTCAAACGAAAGATAGAGTGCACAATCGGATTTCTGCACAGCGGATTCAAACTTTCATAGCGTTCTCGTCACAGCTTCAAATAACCTGATTCAACCTGGATCTAGAGCGTCTTAATGTTGCCTACAATAGACAATTTAGTTCGCACGATTTCACCAAGTATTGACGACACAGCGTCCGTTTTAACAAATGGCACTATTGCAACCACTATAGTCTTAGAACACAAGATAGGAAGAGTTAGGAAGGGCTACGAGTTGGGAATGACTCCCAGCTCCTACAAACCCCAAGAACCGATGTATAGTGATGTGGAATAGTGCCACACTGTCCCCAACCAAGAAGGGTCTCGAAACTACTATCCACAAGGGTCTACACCAACATAAATGTTACACTACACATTGTAATGTAACTATCTTCAACATCTTGAAGTGTGCCCTTTTTATGGCGAGCTTCGAAATCACTTGAGGCTTGACACCAAGGCTCTGGTTCTTCACCACAAACTCATCCTTGAAATCTTCATGGGTCTGCTTCTCACACCTGCGAGACGCCGAACGTTCGATACAGGACAAAATAGGAACCGCGCGAGACACAAAAGCGACAAAATAGAAACCGCGCGGGACACGAATAGCGATAACTCGCTATTGACTTGACACACACATTCGACATCAAGACTCAAAATTTACACATTACTATAAGCATGAAATATATATTATCTCATGCCCTCATACCATTCCATGCACACACCCATGCACGCACACGGACAATAAGCCAAGTGGAAACCGTAGGGTTGCACCAACAAACTCCTCCTCGGGTTGTTGGCCGTAGGATCTGCTGCTCTCAGTTCAGAGCCATCCCAGCCAGCTTGCAACCCTTCCAATGCTGCTGCTCCTCCAGCCTCTTGGTCATCATATCAGCTGGCTGCCCCATCTTCTTCACATAGTGCAACTCAACCTTACCCGCGGCCACCATGCTCCTCGTCCAATACCACTTCATCCTCATGTGCTTGGTGAGGCTGTGCAACACAGGATTCTTAGCCAGAGAAATAGCACCCTGGCTGTCACAGTAGAGTGGGGTAGGTTCTTTCTGCTCCTCCCCCAATTCAGCCAACAAACGCCGCTGCCACACAATCTCCCGTACCGCACGGAAGAGTGCCATGTACTCGGACTCCACCGAGCTTATTGCATGGTCCACTTGCTTCTTGCTTTCCCAAACAGTTGAGCCTCCACCAACACAGCAAATGAACCCTCCAACACTTGTCGTGTCCTCTGGTTCCGATGCATATGAAGCATCCGAGTAGGCGGTGAGGAACAAACGTCCAGGTTCAACTCCATCTGCGCCCTTTTGGCGCCTTTGCGCCGCCGCCGAGTATTGCAGCCCAACGGTAGGTGTTTGGCCAAGATACTTGGCCACCCTCATTCCAGCCACTACCTGCTCCTCATTAGGGCATTGCACAACCCTAGCTAGCTGCCCGGTAGCAAAGGCAACGTCCGGCCGAGTGTTCACCGCCGCATATATGAGGCTGCCCACCAACGAGTGAAAACGGCGCCTCTCCTCTTCACCAACGCTCTCCTCCTCTGGTCCCTTCACACAATTGAACCCAGAAGGAAAGAGAGTGGCCACATGACCTTCACTCAGGCCAAAGTTGGCAGCCAACGCCTCCAGGTACTTCCGTTGGTGCACTCGCATGCTCCGCTTCTCCACGTCTCGTTCGATGTGGAGCCCAAGGTAGAAGTTCACGTCACCAAGGGACTTGCACTTGAAATTGTCTTGCAGCTTCAGCATCACCTCCTTCACAAGGTCAGAGGAGCGTGAGAAGATGAGAATGTCATCCACATAAACCACCATGAAGCTCCTCTGCTCCCCCTCGCCAAGCATGAACAAGGAGTGGTCGGCCGTTGAGGGACTGAAGCCGATCTCCTCCAACACTTCGCGCAGCTTCATGTACCATTGCCTAGGGGCCTGCTTCAGCCCATAGAGGGCCTTCTTCAGCTTCCACACTCAGCCACTACCATCATCAAACCCCTCTGGCTGCGCCATAAAAATCTCCTTCTCAAGGATGCCGTTAAGGAATGCCGTTACAATGTCCATCTGCTTCACCACCCATCCTTTGATGGCGGCTCCCGCGAATAGGGTTCGCAGCGTCGTCGGCTTCACCACAGGGGCAAACAGCTCCTTGAAATCTACCTTCTCCTTCTGCTGGTACCCCTTGGCTACAAGCCTAGACTTGTAGCGCTCGATCTTGCCGTCGGCGTCCGACTTAATCTTGAAGAGCCACTTGGACGTTATCGCCTTACGTCCCTCCGGTAGCTCCACCAATTCAAATGTGTCATTCTCCTCAATACTTTTCAGCTCACTCTCCATTGCCTTCTTCCACTCCTCAGCATCACTACTCTCCAAGGCCTCCTTGAGAGTAGCTGGTTCTCCCGGCATCTCCACAGGAGAGAAGAACACGAACGCACTTTCCTCGTAGTCACTCTCCTAGTCGTCTCCGACCATCATTGCCGCTCCGACCAGGGTTGACTTGCCCTGCTTTCCCGGTGCATCATAGGTCAGCCTATTAGGGGGTTGAACTCTCCTCTTCCCCCTTCCTTCCTCCTCAGCTGCAGAGACTTGAAGGCCTTGGCGTTGCTGCGGCGTGGCTCGGTTCCGTGTAGCGCTCGTAGTGGGGGAAGGAAGTGTCGGTGCATGCTCGCTCACTTGCTGCACCTCCTCCTCTTCTTCCTCTGCATCCTTGGCCTCCTCTCCCCCATTCACAAGGGAGGATTGCCTTGTGGTGGTGCTGCCGCTGCTCAGCTCCAAAGGCAGCTCCACATGCTCCAAGCCGGAGCTCTTCACCTCCCCAAACCGCACGCCTATCTTCGCCTCATTCTCCGCCTTCCAATCCTTGTACATGAAGTTCTCCATGAACTTGCAGTCCCTGCTCACCATGAAATTCTTGGTGAATGGGTCCCAACGAAGCCACCCCTTGCTGTTTTGAGCCATGCCCAAATGCACAGCCCATATCGCCTTGGCACCAAGCTTGTTGTGCCGACGTTGCTTAGGTACGAGCACCATGCACATGCACCCGAACACCCGAAGCATATCCACCTTTGGCTTCCTTCCAATCCACTCCACATAGGGCACCCATTTATCTGCTCCCACATGAGTCAAGGCTCTGTTCTTGGCCATGTACGCACTCCGCACCGCATCAGGCCAGAAATTGTCGGGTAGCCCGGCTTCAATGAGCAACCCACGTGCCGTCTTCGTGATTGTCCGGTTAGCTCGCTCGGCAATGCCGTTCATTGCAGGGGAGTCTGGCATGGTGAGGGAGTGCCTTATCCCATTCTTCTTCAGCCACAACCCGAACTGCTTGCTCAAGATCTCTCCCTCACGATCGGTGCGGATCGACTTCACAAGCCGGTCTTGTTGCCGCTCCACCATTGGCAACCAATCGGTCTTCACCATTTCAGCTACGTCGCTCTTCTTGGACAGCACGTACACCCAAGTCATGCGGGTGTAGACATCCACAATGGTGAGGAAATACTCTTCTCCAGCAGCTCCAAGCTTCAGGGGGCCCACCACGTCCATCACCACCTCATCAAGTGGTGCCTTAGCCGTTGCCTCCGAACTAGAGAATGGGAAACGGGTGAACTTGGCTTGCATGCACGTTGGGCAGCCAAGTACCTCATCGGGCTCCCCCTTCACACGTATGGCAGCAACCATCTGGTTCTTCACTAGCTGCTGCAAGATGGGCAGGGCCACATGCCCCATTCGCCGATGCAAGGTAAGCCAGTCACACTCCCCCGTAGCCGAAGTCGGATTGGAGAATGCCGCACTCGCAATAGCGCCCCACATGCTCTCTCCGTACTCCTCCTCCGCTGCTGCCTCGGGGTTCTCCTCACCCTTGTGCTTCTCCTTGGCTGCTGCACCACACTTGGTATGATCACCGAGCTTGCTGGTCCCTCCAAGATTACTCTTCTTGGACTCGTTCTCCTTAGCGCGACCGTTCGCGCCATCACCACTAACAACCGCTTCACACTTGGTGCCGACGCTTGCTGCCACTTGCCTCTCCTTAGGCATGGGGACCACAGGGATCTGCCACATCTCATTGCAGACATCCCTATCCTCGTGAAGGTCCAATAGAATCCGCTCGCCAAGCCTCGCGGTGTAAGTCTTGGCTCCCTTCGAGTTCGTGTCCATGCGGGCCTTTGCCAATTGCCGCACGGAAATCAGGTTCGCAGCAAGGCTGGGCACCCAAAGCACGTTCTTGAGGCCCACCATCTTCCCATCAGCACCCTTGAACATGGCCTTGCCCATGCCTTTCACCTCTGCTCGCTGCCCCAAAGCCGATGTGACATGCTTCACCGGTGACGGTTCAAGTTCAGTGAGCAAGTCGCGCGAGGTGTCATGGTATAGGTAGCGCCGCTATCGATCACCCAATAGTCCAGGGGGTGTAGGGTGACCTTTCCCACAGCTGCAGGCTCTTCAAAGTCTTCATCCTTCCCTGGTGCAGCCGGTACTTGCATTGACACAAAGTAGATTCGACCCGAGTACCGATCGCTGCCTGAGTCCTCATCTTTATCTCCACTCTTCATGTTTGCAGCACCACCTCCGCGACCGCCACGGCCTCCACGGCCTCTTCCTCTCCCTCCTCCTGCTCCTCTACCCTCCTGGCCTTGAGCAGGGGTCCATCCATTTGGGAGTTTGTAGCAATCGCGCCACATATGTCTGCTCTTATGGCAATAGTGACACTCGCTGTCGAATCAGCCGCGACCGCGTCCGTAGCTCTTGTCGTCGCTGCCGTAACCGCCACTTCCGCAGCCTCCGCTGAAGTTGCTGCCACCAAACCTTCCTCCCCCTCGTCCTCTGCCTCATCCTCGACCATATCCATGGCCGACGCTCGCTGCCCCAGCGCCATCCGCACTCACCAACTCACGGCGGCGGAAGTCCTCTTGAAGGATCGCGCGCTTCACATCTTCAAGCGAGAGACGGGGCGGATCACGGTTCAAGTTGATGATGAGCGAGGACCATGATTCCGGGAGTAGGGCCAGCAACGTGGTCTTCTTCTGGAGCTCACTGTAGTTCAAATCTGCTCCTTCAAGTCGCGTCAACAAGTCGAAGAATTTCTGCACCCCTTCTTCAACCGCTTCATCTTCTTCAATTCGTAGTGTCACCATTTGCCGTTCCAACACCACAGCTACCGCCGCTGTTGCAGGAGCGTGTACACCCTTGAGAGCAGCCCATGCCTTTGGTCCCTTCTCTGGTTCACGTTGGAATGACTTGATGTGACGGATTTGGCTGCTCCCCAACGCTTGCCCAAGTAGGAGATAGCCTTGTGCGCTCTTCCGCACCCACGGGCTCTTCTCCAGGTCGTTCTCGAGACGCTCCTCCGTTCCTTCCATCACCTCCAGCAGGTCATAGTGATCAAACACATTCTCCATTCTGAAGGACCATTCAGCAAAGTTGTCACCGTTGAACTTGTCAAGCCCGAACACTCTTGGTTCATCCCTAGAAGGTCCAATAGTAGGTTGCACGGGCCCCACGGCTGAATCACGGGCTTGGCCTTGTGCTTGGGCTTCTCCACTGCCACCAGCACCTCTGCCACCCCTCTCTTCAGGTCTAGCCATTGTCGAAACTGCTTCAAGAGGCTCTGATACCACTTGTTTTAGTCACAGTAGGCTCCAATGTGCCTAAAATGAAAGATAGAGTGCACAGTCGGTTTTCTACACAGCGGCTTCAAACGTTCATAGCGTTCTGGTCATAGCTTTAAATGACCTGATTCAACTTGGATCTGGAGTGTCTGAACGTGGTCGATTGGAGGGTCGACCAGATCACCTGGGGGTCGACCAGATCGACCGGGTAACATGCTCGACAAGTTCTGTGGAGGCACGCGAATGTCGTCGAGGTCGCGATGCTGCAGGCAACTTCGGGCTGGTATTCCGAAGTCGATGTGGCTTGTCAGGTGCAGACAACAGCCGACGGATGCCCAACGAGGCATGTCGGGCCAACGCTGTGTGAGAATAGGAAAACAGGAATGAATGAACTATGAATGAAAGCAGTACAAATATGAAACCCTAACTGGGTTGTACCCCCTATGGGATACCCCACTACAGCCTACACAGCAGTATAAGCTATAGATATGTTCTGACACGCTGGACAGCCGCTTTGCTGCAGCGTTGGCACGCCTTGACCTGCTCTGTTGGCGGGCCGCCTTTCTGCAGTGCTGGCGCGGCACCCCTACGCAACGCTGGCAGGCGGTCAACCAAGCTGTGCTGGCAGTCGACCAGGCTAGCTGCAGGGTTGCTAGGTGCCTGATGTAGTCATTGTTGTTATTGCTTGCTCAACCATTCTGTTATTTCGACTTTGCTAGTGGAAACTCTTGCCGATTTCTCCCGTGATTGTGCAAGCACTAAAGAACTAGGCAAAGCTACGATCAATCCTAGTAGTTCGTGCCAGCCCTTGTAGTCTAGCTCACTACCTTTGTCGAGTGAATCTCCGCATGGTTCAATGAGCATGGATCAAACACGCGACCTTTAAATAGGAGCCGACTCTTGCACCTACTAAGTCGTTCGTAGGCCGGCAGCTGCGATAGTCACCATGGTTGACCCCGTAGCTGATGCGGGTGTAGCGGACACCATAGAGGCACGCTTGGCTGATGCAAGGAAACACCACACGGATGGCGAGTACGGGACGATCCCCCTGATGATCGTCGAGTTGGGCATCCGGTCGCACTGGGCGATGGAACACCCTTCCCGTCCTGCATCTCCTTAACCGGTGCACAACGAAGGTGGCGTCGACGACGAGGTCAATGGTGGTGCACGAGCCAGCAGCAGTGAACGTACGAGACAGAGAGGGGTATCAAGGTCGACGGTGGTGTCGACGGGATTCAAGCGCAAGTGCAGGGGTCGACGGCGGCCGCACGCAGCTCGCGTGCCAACGTAGATGGTCGACGTTGCTCTCCTCTACGAAGTGGTAGAAGGCTCTCGGCGATGACGCACGTGACGCTTGACCAGATCACCGTCGCACCGCTGCAAGGTCGACAAGACCTTATGAACTAAAGGGAGTCGATCGAACCTCTAGATGGAGGTCGCCAGCCTGAAGGGCTTCGCCAATGGCACCGTGCCAATTCCGCCCGTGGACGATGTCGAGCTGCGCAGGGAGTTTCGTACTGCTCACCTACTCACCTTCATGGTCATCTCGATGTGTTGCTCGCCGCTGGTGCAGCTAGAGCTTCGGAGCTGTTGAGAGCGACTGGATGCTGCTTACCAGGCATGGCACTTCTACCTCTCGACGTACCAGGTGAAGGACAACCTGTACATCGGACAGCTAGAGGAGAAGATGACCCACATTCAAATGGGCGAGTAGGAGTCGGCGACGGACTACTCCAACCGTGTCGATGGATCCTGGCTTAGATGCGGATGGCGGGTGCCGAATACTAGACTGCGTCCTAGATCACCCAGGTCCTCAAGGGCCTGCCGCGCAGCTACAGACTCATGAAGAGGTTTACGATGGTGCCCGACACACGTGAGTCCCTCGACAAGAACTCCCGCACCAGCTACATCCTCCAAGACAAGGCGATGAAGGAGGCCGAGCAACCCACTGAGCTCCTTCCGCTGGCGAGTTATGCTACACCGACGAAGCCAATTCATCAGTAGGAGCAGCACGGGAAGCAGGGCGGAGGTGGTAGCGGAGGTGGGCGGTCGACAAAGGACGTCAACGAGAAGAGGTCGACACGGGGCAAGGCTCGACGAAGTGGTGGTCGACGGCGAGAGTGCTGGATCTACAGCGACCTAGACCATCTCTCCTTTGAGTGCCCCGACGGCGATGACAGCGACGAGGATGACAACAAGGGAGGTCGCGGACGGTCGACCAGTCGTCGCCCCCGTCGAGATGCGAAGCCGCGCAAGGAGAAACAGACGTCGAAGAAGATGTAGTCGACAAAGGATGTCGACAGCTCCAGCGGCAAGGGCCGAGGCGGCAGGGAGGCGTCGTGCTCGATGATCAGCGTGGTGGAGCCGACAGTCTTGTAGACACTGGAGGCTGGCGACGACTTCCAGGTGGTGGCGGCAGCTGTGTGTTGGAGACTAAGGATGGAGTCTATGAAGATTAGGAGCCGAAATATCTCAAAATCGTTGGCTTAGAATTCTGAACAGAAATTTCGCGCTCACAAGAAACGCCGTCAACAAACAGTTCACTGATAAAAATTCAACAAACCTAGATATGTTGTAGCCCTAGTCCGTGGCTACAGTTCCCAATTTGAATCGTATCAAGAGGTGAAGTAAATCTCGACTTATCAATTTCGGCGCACAAGGGGGTATGCAGCCATAAGAATCGAACTCAATCACAAGAGTCTCACAAGTTCCACAATTACTATACAAGAGAGTTAGAGTAGCACTAAACCATGTGGAAGGGATGAGGAGGATGAGAGGGAAGGTCCCAAGAGAGTCCCCAACCAAGGAAACCCCATGCCACACAATTCCCTTCCCCATAGGCAACCCAACTTTGACCTTTGTCACTATCCCAACCTCCACAATCCACCTCAACCCAACTTGGACACACTTGCCAACCTGGTTTGGTTTCTCCCAACCATTTGGCAGCAACTACAGTAGAAAAGACGAATTTCCCAACCCCAAAAGTCTGTACCCCATATTGACTCAACCCCACAACTTCCCACAATTGCCACAATCAAATATGAAAAGCATACAAACTCCAACGTTCGTAACTTTCTAGATCGTGCTCCGATTGAAACGATACTTGGTTCGTCGGAGAGCTCTTGAGTAGAGAAGTCACTTCAGACATCTGCTCAAGCCAAATAACATTTGCACACACTCAGAAAATTCAAACCACACAAAACACAATTTCTTGCACACGCTCACACCACGCATGCAACGCACGAACATATGATGGGAGGCAGACAGACGTGAATGCATATGATTGCATCACACAACAAAATCCCCCTCTATCTGCCAACCATCATCCCACATGCCATATCTCAAGCATGCATCCTCAATGCACACTCATCCCAGCAAGCTTCATGCCCTTCCAATGCTCAGATTCAGCCAGGCGCTTGGTGAGAATGTCAGCCGCCTGCTGATGGGTCTTCACAATCTTCAATCGCACCTCCTTGTCCACGAGCCTCCTCACCCAGTGCCACTTGGGCCTGATGTGCTTTGTCAGCCCATGAAGGCAGGCGTTCTTGGCAAGCTTCAGTGCCGACTCGTTGTCACAGAAAATCACGGTTGGCTCCTTCTGGCACACTCTGATCTCCTCCAACAGACGCCTCAGCCACACTACCTCCTTTGCCCCATGATGCAGGGCCATATACTCTGTCTCACACGAGGACTGCCCCACCTTGTTCTGCTTCTTGCTGCGCCAGCTCACTGCACCTCCTCCAAACAGGCACATATAGCCTCCAATGCTGGTGCCATCAGCCTTTACAGAGTTGAAGCTGGCGTCGGTGTAGCAGGTCATGAGCATCTCCCCCTTGCCCAAATCAACTGCACCCCTCTGCACCCTCTGTCTCACAGCACTGTACTCCAAGCCCACTGATGCCGTAGCGCTCACATAGCGGACCAATCTCTTGGCCGCTTCCAGCTGCTCATGACTGGGGCATGAAACCACACTTGCAAGCCTGGATGTAGCAAAGGCAATGTCAGGCCGCGTGTGGTTAGCCGCATAGTTGAGTGCCCCAACCATGGAATGACAAAGTTTCCTATCACTCTCACCCACCACCTCCTCATCAGCACAGGGCTCCACTGTGAACCCTGAAGGCAGTGGGGTGGCTGGCTTTCCTCCATCTTGCAGCCCATACTTCTCGGCCAGCCCCTCACAGTACTTCCTCTGGTGCAACCTCAATACTCCCTTGTCAAGGTCCCTCTCCACATGCATCCCCAAATAGTACTTCACATCTCCCATCTTGGAGCACTTAAACTGCATCTCCAACATCTCCTCCACAAGCTCAATCAATGTAGATGACTCAGAGAAGAGCAGGATATCGTCCACATACACCAGGAGCATGAGAAACTGCTCCTTCTTTTGCAGCAAGAACAAGCTGTGATCACACTCACTCTTCTTGAAACCCCCAGCCAGCAGAGTCTCCTCTAACTTGTGGTACCATGCACGAGGAGCTTGCTTCAGGCCATAGATGGCCTTCTTCAGCTTGCACACCCTACCGCTCCCATCATCCAAACCCTCAAGGTGTAACATGTACAGCTCCTCCAGAATGATCCCATTGAGGAAGGCGGTGGTGATGTCCATCTGCTTCACCCGCCATCCACGGTTTGCTGCCATTGCCAATGACATCCGCAGTGTTGTGCCTTTCCCCACAGGAGCATAGAGCTCGTTGATGTCCTTTCTCTTTGTCTGCTGAAACCCCTTAGCCACAAGCCTTGACTTGTAGCGAGTCAGCTCCCCATCTGGTCCGTACTTATGCTTGAAGATCAGCTTGGAAGAGATGGCCTTCTTCCCAAGAGGCAGCTCACACAGCTCCCACGTCTCATTCTCCAGCCGAGAATCATACTCCTTCACACTCTGCTTCTACTTCTCAGCGTCCGGCCCGCTCAATGCCTCGGCTAACGTCTTGGGCATAGGGACGGCTGCCCAGTAACAGTGTGCTATCTCATCCTCA